AATGGGCTTTTTTATTTCGCTTTACGATGTTTCCGTATAGCGACGTTAATCCTGGAACGGATTAACGTCGCTATACGGGGCACCACTGTATCTGTTTCTGACATCAGGGTCAATATATGCTATAGAATCAATTTTGTGCCTATAAGGCTGGGATCCAGATTTACCTGGACACCCAGTTTATTGCCAGACTGGTGGCCCAGTCCAATAAAAACTGGTCAGCAGTAGCCCAGCATGGCAGCTCCACAGGGCAGTGTACAGGGCATGCTGGGAGCTGAGCACAGGCTGGAATAAGCAGGCACAAGTCAGTTAGCCAGTACAGTCAGTAAGCGGGGAGACTGCTGGCTAGTGGACCTGAATGGAAGATGCTTTGCTGTGGTCCACCTGCCCAGCATAAAACAGGAGAGAGACACTGGCTGGATCCCAGTGCAGATTGGGTGGCATCCCCTTCCCTCCCATCCCCCCAGATTTTGTTCAAGGCTTGTACTAGTTTTTTTTTTTCTCTTGGGAGTTTGGGGGTGGGTTCCACTCCAAGATTTTTCTGTTGGTTATCATCTTCCTTTTTCATGTTGCAACTTTGTTGGTGATTTGGAGCATTGGAATGGATCCAGGTGGTGGGAGAGCAGCAGGTGGGGACCTGCATGCCCTGGACAATAGGGGAGGGCTAAAGCATGGCATACCTTATATCCGTGAGCAGAGTACGCCATTCTCTCTTACTTAATGGGGACCTCAGGGAAGCCCGGAAATGGTAGGTTGGCCTGAAGGAAAAATAAGCTTTTCTACAGATCCAGATTCCAAATATGAGTGGTGGGGACTGACAATATCTCCTGCCTGAGAAAACACTCTCTCACTGGGCATACTAGTTGATGGGCAAGATAGCATTCCTACGGCCACCTTGGCTAGACCTCTCCAAACAGTCTCCTTTTCAGCTGGATAAGATAAAGAACTGGTCTCTTTTGGTTTGCAGGGCTCCGCTACCTCTGCTTCTTCCATGTCCTTCCTCTTAGGTGGTGACTCTGGAGGAATGACCTTGCCATGCTTGTCAAGACAGTGTCTTAGAAAGCTTACCCCACCCCATTGGAACACATTGAACGGGTTTCAATGCATTTCAATTGGGTTTTTATTTTTGCTTTACGATGTTTTCGCTTAATGGCGATTTTCCTGGAATGGATTATTGTCGTTAAGCGAGGCACCACTGTACTTTGTTTTTAATTCTGTTCTTTTTAATACTGTGAGTTGCCTTGCATCCCCTTATTGGGAGAAAGGTGGCCTAGAAATAACACAAATAAATAACAAGAAATATTTTCCTTGTATCTACAGCAACAGCTCAGTGCCTGGGACACTGCAGTGAAAATGTCTGGCCACCATTCTAGCCCACCCAATTCTAGGAGGTATGTGTGTGTCTTCCACTACCTTGAACTATGAGGTTGAGAGTACAGTATAGGCCATACTCCACACCTCTTTCATCTGCCAACATGTTTGCCCCATTGTCTGTGACTAGCTGTAGCTAGACTCCCCTGCTGCAGCATGTCCCTCAGAGCCTATGGCATGTTGTCATCCATCACAGCCACATTCAATCAGGCCCACCTTCCTATGTTGTGCTACGCCTGATGCCTCCACCTCTCATCTGTCTTCTGCCAGGGAGATCGGCATGTTGTATACCTTGGCTATCCCAGATATAATTTATACTGTAGACTTCCTGTGCCCTGGCCAACTGCTGCTGTACCAGTTGCCTGACACCCCAATATAAATCTGGTACTACCTTGCAGCTAAGGGTCATCCAGGATGGCAGTTGGTAATGAGGTGCCACTTCTGCTACACACCTATGGACACCAGTGTTCACCAAAGAGAATGGCTGGTCACTCAGGCCTATCATCTCCCTTAAATGACAAGTAATCCTGGTTTTTTGTTTGTTTGTTTGTAGGAGGCCTTTTCCTACCACCACTCCAAGCTACTCCCATGTTCTTGGGATGTGGCATTTGCTGCCTCCCACCTCTTGCCATTTGCCCATCTACCTCCTTGCTTCCGTGGACTGGTGACTCAACCTCTGCCCTGGGATAACTCTTACCATTCTCCATAAGGAAGCCACCTGCCCCCACCATACCCACTTCATTTGCCAGCAGTGTTGCCCTGTGCCGAGTCTTCAGGTGCCTTCAGCATGTTGCTGTTGGAGATGTGAACCAAGGGAGAACAGTGCCTTCTTCATAGTCTTTCTTGGCACCTTGCCCTGGCTGAATTCCACAAATATGTCACTGAAAAATATCTGAGGTTCACTCCTCTCTGTCCCAACTGGCTATTTCTACCACATCCACATTTCACACTGCCTGCAGGCTCTACCCAAAGAACAGAATCTGATTCTTTAACAGCAGAACTCAAACCCTTACAGTGAGAATCACACACACACACAATCTATAAACTTTTAGATGCCCATTTATATAAAATATAGTTAATGTATTTTAATTGTATTGTCTATTAACAAACAAACAAGAATTTAAAGGAAGACACAGGAACCAAATAAGGCATTTGACTTATTTATAATGTTGACCTTCCTGATGGGCCTTTTGTGTCTAAACTAGAGACCTAAACAATTTTCCCTCTAATTCTCCGGAGCTGTACACAGAAACTCTGCCCCCTGCATGTGGAGTTCCAGCTGCAAACATGCAGATACACTTGCTCAGCTGCATGTGCCCAATGCAGCGATGCGCACCTGCACAGTTTAGCAGGAACATTGGACCTAAAACACGAAAGAGGCTCCCTTTATGCAATTTATGCTATTTCTACTATTCTAAATGCAAATGATGCATGTTTTTGAAAGAAGAGTACACAAAGTTTCATGTATCTTTTGTGTAGCCTTTCATGCCCTTTCACCCTTTGTCTGTCAAATTACCTCAGAAATTCTTCATCCAATACCATTGCAAGGGCTGTGAGCAGCCAATCTGAACATCGAGAAGGTAGCAGGAATTTGAGGTATGTAAAAGGGCCTGGATCCCAGTAAGGAGTGGTCTTTGTTTCAGTCGTTCCTTCTGGGATCACTGTGTGCATAGCTCCTAGTGCCCTTCATCTTGGATTGCTACTGCTGTGCCTCCATCTTGAATCCTGTCTTCTTCTCTTTTGGCCTTTTCTCCATGATTTTCAGTGGGGATCCTTCCTTCCTGTTCACTTTTGCTGCTGCTGCCAGACAGCCTGTCCATGTCAGCATGCCTCCTTCAGATTGTTTTTTGTATTTATACTCTTGATTTCCTTGGGAATTTTCCCCCTTCTCCTTCTCCTTCTCCTTCTCCTCCTCCTCCTCCTCCTCCTCCTTGGCTCTTTCTTTTCTTGGATAATTTTTGCTACTTGTACTTGTAAACTAGTACCTACATAGGTTTGAGGATGAATTTTCCTTTTCAATTACTGTTGCCAGCAAAGATCCCTTTAAGGTGTGTGGCTGCACATGCACACATGACTCTGCCTCCTTCCGCATAGCTTTCTTCCTCCTCCATGCAGCCTTTTTGGTTCTAATCATGACAGAATCTGAACCGGGGGGGGGGGCAGAGTCACATGCACATGCAGGGGAGAAATTGTGTGCATGAGAGGTGGAATCCCACCCTATGGGGCTGAAAATTAGAGGGTACATTGGTTGCCAGCTTTTGGAGTAGATTGATTCTTTGTCGCATTTGCTTTTTTGGAGTAGTTATTAAGGGTTCCTTGGGGTGTCTGTCATGCCAGAAAACAAGAACAGGAAACCCAAAACAAGCTTTCCCTTTTCTGTAAAACTAAACATCAGTAAATAAAATATAAGAAACGGAAAGAGGCACACCCCCCAAAGAGAACCTAAATCAAAAAAAGTACACAATTTTTGCCTTGCACTTCCTTAATGATAACCTTCTTCAGGTGCTGACTGATTTGCTCAACAGGAAAGCCAATGTAATTAACATCAATGGGTTTTTCCCCCTGGGCATGCTCATTGTGGAGCAAGAAGCAAACTGGTGGCTGTTTTCTGAGGATGTCCTGCCTCAGCAGAGAGCATGGTCCAAAAGAACATGCTGGAGAATATTATCATATTTAGGGCATGAGATTCATGGATTGCTGCCTTGTCGTGGCGAAGGGGCTTAAGTAACTCAGAGAAGCTATGGGCTATGCTGTGCAGGGACACCCACCTTGCCAACAACATCACCTTGCCAACAAAAGTCTGAATAGTCAAAGCTATGGCTTTTCCTGACTGCCGAAGAATTGATGCTTTTGAATTGTGGTGCTGTAGGAGGCTCTTGAGAGTCCCCTGGACTGCAAGGAGAACAAACGTATCCATCCTAAAGGAAACCAACCCTGAGTGCACTCATTGGAAGGACAGATCCTGAAGCTGAAGCTGAGACTCCAATACTTTGGCCATCTCATGAGAAGAGAAGACTCCCTGGAAAAGACCCTGATGTTGGGAAAGTGTGAAGGCAAGAGGAGAAGGGGACGATAGAGGATGAGATGGTTGGACAGTGTCATCGAAGCCACCAACATGAATTTGACCCAACTGCGGGAGGCAGTGGAAGACAGGAGGCCTGGCATGCTCTGGTCCATGGGGTCATGAAGAGTCGGACACGACTAAACGACTAAACAACAACAACAAAGGGCATGAGAAGGAAAAGGATGAATAGCAGGAAGTAATAACTGATTTTGCATTGATCAGCTTCAATCCTGTTGCTTAGTCTAGTAAGTTGCAACTAGAGAAAGCCCATTGAATCAGTGGGGATTTGATAATCTTATTCCTCTGTAAATTCAATGGGCATACTGTGGTTGTGACTTACTATGCTAAGCAACAGAATTTCACCCAGTGTATGTGAGACTGATGGAAGTAGCTCTTTAAAATTCAGTGTAACTATTGCCTCCTTTCTACCTCAGTCAATTATTAACCTGAAAGTTATAAATTGTACATTTTTAATCTTCTTTATCCCATTTCCTTTCCATTACTTCAAATGATTCTTTGGAATAGAGAGGGGTCACAATAAAGCAAAGCCTTTACCAGCTTTAAATTGCTTTCCTTCTTAGCTCTGAGCAATTCAGTCTTTCTGATTTGTAAGTAGACTCTTATAAAATGGACTTAGTTTCCCATTCTCACATGCAGGTATCTCTGAAAGAGTGCCTCATCGCCATTATCATCTTCTAAGATTATGATGATCACTATCAGCACTACTTCTGTTTCTGCTGCCACTGTTAATTGCAAAGGTCTGGATTTTGGATCTTCTCAGAACTTGCTGCATATGTTTACTCCTAAATAATGTAGTCGTTTTTACTTCTGATTTGCTATGCCCAAGTTTTGCTTCTCCTCACTCTTTCTTTTGAGCAAGTAGAAAAGCAAAGAGGTTGTCTGTATCAATGCTCTGTTGACATGCTTTTCTATGCAATGTGGAATTCCTCCTGCTGGACCTTTACTGCTGCTATCTGTTGCCCCAATCTCTCCTTCCATCAAAAAGCAAGAATAACAGACAGATAGCCAGCTTTTTAAAGGCTGTTTGGGAGGTTCTTCCAAAGGATTTTTGCAATCCTCTATAGATTGTAAAATCTCTGGTCCTCCCTCAGCTCTACCACCCCAAAAGCCCTTGTTGGCATGAGCTACCATCATTTCCTATTAACTTGAAACTGTGAGCGTACGGTTATTATTTTAAATCCCCATAAATCATAGATCATAAATACCCACAACCTCCTATCTTGCTAAATACCTCTCTTATTTCCTACAGATGGACGCTATGTATTGTTATTGTTATAGCAGCATATTTATGCCATAGAAAATTTGGTTTGCAAGAATTCACGACATCAGAAGGACACACAACCAAATATGCAGTGGATCCAGAGTGCTTCTTTAATGTTGTGAGTCATGCCCCAATTTTGACCACTCGTCTTTTGGAGGTAGTTCCATAAAGATCAAGAAGATGAAAAGAAATACTCAGGGATCTTTTGAGCTGGACCTTTCATGAGATGTGATGAATATCCTCCCTTAGACAAGGAAGTGGGAGGCAGCTGAATTTCCTCCCTCCACATAGTGTTGGGAGACTCCTTGCTGTTAACTCAACAGGCAGCATGATGGGTGTTCCAAACAGATCTTTCACAGTGCAAACTCAGGCATGTAGTCTCTCAGGACCAGCTGCCTTTCAGATCCTTCATCTCAGGATTTCCTCAGAGCTAAAGATCAGATGTAATCTTTTGTACAGAGGGCTGCATTGCCCTCAAAATAGGCCTGCCAGTACTTCAGGCAGCTGTTAAAGCCTAGACCCCTTTTTTTTTGGAGGAGTCCTCCTCCGAAAGAGATATTATGAGTTAAGTAGTCATGGGGGTGAGGTGATGCAATAGGAGCAACGTGTGCATTATAAATGGGACCACCATAATGAACCCTGCTGCCTTACACGACTGGTGTTCCAGCCAGTACAGTACATTCAGATATTGATCCTTCCTCTCTGCTCATAAGGCCCTGCAGAGGGTGCCTCTCAAAACACTACCAGTCCCCTAATTCTTTGGTAGAATGCTCCACCCATGTCCTCCTTCGTGTCCTTCTTTTGATATAAAATAGGTCAAGGCAATTTATGGCTCCTTTTTCATCCAGGTACTGTGGGTTCCTTGTATTTTACTTTGCCTATCTTGGATAATGCATACTACTCACACAATCCAGGTCAATACAATTAAAGCAAAATCATTTTACTAGGCCAGCTTTGAAACATACGAAAACACATCTGATTTCCAAGGCTGACTGAAGACATTTTGATCTCTGAGGCGAAGAACTAGATGGCACCTCTCCTATTGCATGCACAGATATAGTTGCTGAATTTACAGTTGTAAGCCACCCAGAGAGTGCTAATCACTAGGGGGCAGTAAACATGTTAAACAAAACAAAATAAAAAGCAGCTCAGTTTTCATCCACACTGGTAATGGATCTTCCACTGCAACTGAAAACAGCAGGTGTAATTGTAGGGGTGACAGACAGGGTCTCAAATCTCATCCTTTACCACCTTCTGCCACCTCCTTTCTTATTCCGCCCTGCTGATCTTAAGTTCCATCACATTTTAAGGATCACTAGAAAACTCTGGTAACTTTTCCTGTGTTAAAGGCCTTGAAAGCAGCATATGGCTGACACATTCTTGGCCTACTTTTGGCATTTATCCCATTCTTCTTCCAAACAAAAGGTTTGTTTAGGAATAGAAAGGATACGTGGAACCCTCAGCTTTCAACAACTTGCCTTACAACCCATCAATTTAACAACCATTCCACTTTCGGTCACCCACCCACCCCTGTCTCCCAAACTCATTTTTATAGCCAGTGTGACTGAAGTTGTAGACTGTCAGCACTTGCAAGAGCTACAAAGGGTGGGTGGGTGGCCGAAAGTGGAATACTTCTTGGGGCTCAGAACGTGAAGGAGGAACTGAGGTGGGCATTCTGGGCTCCCATCTGCAAAAGTGATGCTTCTGCAACACCACAGCAGCAAGACGCCCTTGAACTGGGGTACCAATGGGCAAAGAGATTGTGTCAAAGGAACTGTAGATTCTATGTCAAGCATGGAAAGGTGAGCAGAGGCGGGAAGGAGGAGACCACAGAGGTGAGTGGGAAGCACTCAGCAAGATGGAGAGCAGAACTGTGGGGGGAAAGTGAGAGGAGGTGAGAAGTACAATTTATAGGGCACTAAATTCTCCAGGAATAAAATTCCTCTTTGAACACTGAGCCTAATGGGAAAATAGGAACTGACGGACAACAGCTCATTTTACAACTTTAGTCTGGGAACCAGCTAGAACTGAAGTACGGATATAACCATTAAACATACCTACTGTGTTTTCCTCCCATAGAGTGAAATAATCCATTATCATGGATTCCCAAGTGAAGAATATCTTGTTGAGACAGAAGATGGATATATACTTACAGTCTTCAGGATACCTCATGGAAGAAATAATGGTGCAGATAAAGGTAGCATGGTGGAAATGTGGTAAATCAAATAGCCACTCTACACACCACACCCCAAAGCAACCATGTTCAGCAAAATCTAGACCAATCCAAGCTGGGATAATTGGGCCATCTAACCTTAACTCTTTGCCAATAGGACTGGTTTGTCTCTAAACATGCTAAGCAATGGAGATGGAGACCAACTGGGGACAGGAACTGTGCTTTGCTTAGCCGCCTAGAGTGGTTGCAATGACCAGATAGGCGGGATATATATAGAATAAATAAATAACTTTTCCCCTTCCTGAGGTGGGACTATGGGGGCAGAGCCCTATAATCTGATTAATAGATTGGTTGAAGAGGATGGGAGAAGAGTGAAGAAAGGCAGAGGAACTAATTCAGCAGACTTTTGCATAGGGAGTGTGCATGTGCGTGCGTGCATGTGTGAAAGGAGGGACCAAAGCAATAGCAGGTCTTATGAAAAGGAAGGAGGAATCTAGCTGGCTAAACTAAAATAGAGGATTTCATTCCCCACTAACCAAGGGAGTGGGGAAAATACAGTTGTAGAAAGAGGTGGGTGTACCTTTGTATATGGAACGTCCCAGAAATGTTGTGAGTGCGCCTAATAATCCTGGATATGCTACTGCTACCTGAAACAATGTAAAAATGACAGCACTCCCAATTGGTAGGTGCACCAGTTTTCTTGCAGTTTAATATCAGGTCAGCAGAACCATGACACTGGCTCATTGCTAATTTTCCTGCCACCACTGCATTACTTCTCTTATTCCCTATCTCCTAGTTAACTAGAAGAGAGGAGGAGGGGAAGCAGTGTAGTGCATTGGAGGCTAACATGCCCTAGATGGAGGCCATTTTGCCAGTCTTCCCCTTTGTTGCTGGCTGTCTCTCTCCTCTCCTCTAGCTTGAAAAGCCGGAAATCTGGGACAGCTGATTGAGGAAAGGTCCAGTTTCTAGGCAAAACCAGGCTTCCAGTTGATATGACAACCCTAGCAATAACAAATAATTTCTTCCTCTTTTTTTTTTTTTGGCTTTTTACAGGCTTAAGGCCTCCCGTGTTTTTGCAACATGCAGTGCTGGGAGACGCCACCCATTGGATTTCCAATCTCCCCAATAACAGTTTGGGTTTCATATTGGCGGATGCCGGCTACGATGTTTGGCTTGGAAACAGCAGAGGCAACACATGGTCTAAAACTCACAAGACACTGAAACCCGAGGACGAGAAATTCTGGGAATTTAGGTAAGAAAACCCAGAAGTGGGAACACCTGGTTTTTTTAAAAAAAGCCTTTAATGCTAGTCCCCATCATCCAATTTGTAAAAGTAACTGCTCCATGTATGTAAGAGGGGAAGTAGAAATAGTCATGATCATATGGGATGGCTGTGCAATTCCTTTCTGCTCTATTTACATATAATATGGATGAGTTCTAATGTTTATTTTAAAAAGGTTCATGCAGGTAAGAGGTGCTGGATCCTTGCCCTTCCCTGTCTACCCTTGCCATGTTTCATAGATTCAGGCACTTTTCTTCCCACTATAGTTCACTAATTTCCACAGCCATGAAGCTTCAGTGGTAGAAAAATGATTGCAGTGACAGAGTAGAGGAAAATACATGGAAGAGCTGAAAGGATTTAGCCCTTCTGCTCACTGGCATCTTTTCTTTGAAAAAAAAAATACATTCAGTTCCTTTTTTGCCAAATTGACTTCAAATAAACAGGTTAGTTGTGTAATAATATGTATATCTGCTCCCATTTCATTTGGTGCATGACTTGTTCTTTCACTAGCCAATGTACTCTGTTTTGCCACAATTAAAAGCTTATGAGTCACACCCTCACCTACTGCCTAGTTTGTCACTCCCGTCCCATAAATTTCTTGCTTTGCTCACCCCTTCTTTTCCTCTAGTACTCATTCAGCTTGTGCCAGCTTAATAGAAGAGTACAGGAAATGGCAATGATCAGGCATTATTAATTAAAGCCAGTTTTGAAGGGACTGATTTTTGAAGACCACCAGTTCACTTATTCAAGTTAGGAAACCTATAGTACACTTGCAAACATTTTATTTACCTCTTGCTGTATTGGATATCTTTTTAGATAGATAAAAAGGGCTCTGGGCAGCTTGATTTTCAAATGTACATAACAGCCATGCTGAATTCTTCAGGATGAATAAACCTAAGGAACTATTGACTGATCAGTTTCAAGATGTAAAAAGTCTAGTTTTTAAAGACATCCATACTGAATTTCATATTTTTAGCTTTGAAGAATAGGATAAATTCAAGAATGAGGTTTCTGGTTTCTGCAGCTCCATTCCTTCAATCTAAAGCCACTTACTTGCAAAAATCAATGTCACAGCATGTTCCTCATTTATGATACTTTATGTTATCTCATTATTTCATGTACCACAAAAATGAAAGGAAATATGGAAATGAGATGCAGGGGGCCTAGTGATTTAGTATGATTCATAATAATTAGAATAACAGCTGAATATAAAAAGCATTGCAACTTTAATCTAGTTTATGGGCCATAACAACACATTTGCTCCTGCTGTCACCCCCAGTAGTCAGTGTTGGCAGCAGGCTTGCTGCTTCTTTGCATGGAATTTTAAGGATCAGAAGCTTCCGAGTTCTGTGAGTGAGGAAGGATGTTTTATTTTTTAAGAAATCAACCAGTTCTTTAGTTGGTCTGTTCGTGCTTTGTGTGTGCCTTTGCTTTGCTTCTCAGAGAGAAAGGACACTAGTTTTATACAGAGATAATCTGCACAAATTTTGATGAGAAAAAAATTAGTATTCGTTGTCTAATAGTTGCTCGCAGGTAAGGAAACTCCTAGACAAGAAAATACCTTGCTGAAGTGTCTCATTGAGGCAGACTAAATTAAACAGAACAAAAGTTTTCATGAATATCCTTAATAGTAGTATCTAGCAGAGATGCTTACACATGAAAACAGGACAAAAAAAGTTCAGCTGGAATATTTTCTAGTTATAACAAATTATTTAATCTGCATCACTGGAAGATGCCATACCTTGTTTTTCCCTATGTAAAGTAGAAAACAAATGCATAACAACAATGCAAGGATCAGTGCACTTAATGTGCTGTTGTGCAAATTTGCAAGTTAGGTTCTCTAATCAAATTAGATCCCCAAGATTTGGGGAACTGAGACGTGATAAGCCTCCCTGTGCATTGTAAATCGCCACGTTGTCTACAGGTCAGAGCATCTTTCCGTTCTAGAAGGGAGAAAAACAACTGTTTGATGATGTGACTTTTGCCCCTTGTGGCCCCTATTTGTCTCCCCAAAACAGAGAGCTCATGAAGGCAAATTAAAAAAACAAAACCTTTTCACACGCTGCCACATTGATTTCTTTATCAATGTACTTTACCTAGGAAAGACAAAGGTCCATTCATCACTGTCTTTTGAATAAAACAGGCTTATTGATTACAGATGTTTCTATAATAATTCATAAGTATCTTCTTCAGGTTCAGCAGGCATCAATAACAATCTTCTATATTATCTTACATGTTACTATCCACTCCTCAGACTAATCACTCCTCAGATTTCCAAACTAGCTCTCTCTCTCTCCCCCTCCAAACTCAGATCCAGACTGTCAACTCTCCTCCTCCTCTCTGGCTCTGCCTTTTAACATCTCTAGTGGCCCCACCTCTCAACCACATCAGCATAAAACATGAATAATGCATAACTTATTTAACATAATAAGGGTGAATGCCACAATGACAACAAAAACAGGGTTTTTTTGTGATACCTTTAAAGCTAACACATTTATTTCAGTGATTATTGGGAGAAAGATCACATTGGACCACTCCACAAGTGGTCTAAGATGCCATCTATTTCCTCATGAGAACTACCCTAACACAATGTGCTAAAAGCATAGTGGACTTCACTGTCACCAGTCTTTGAGGAGAAAAGACCCATAAGGACCAGAAGAGTGCCTGAAAGCAACAATAGTAGTGGAGGAATTCTTTTTTTCCTGCAGATCTCTATAAATAAAGAAAAGAACAATCCATGAGCCATTTTTCCAATACTGCCATCACCACATTGACCTAAGTGGATTTGCAATAGGGTTCTTTTCAAACAACCCTTGAATAACATGAAAAGCAGCACAGTAATAGTGTGGTAGAGAAGTATCTTCTGCATAGAATCTTTTGGTGTCTCCATTCCATCCATGGCCCAGTTTCGCTTCTGAGATCAGATGGGATCATGTTTGTCAAAGGGTATAAAGTTCAGGCTGGTAATGACTAAAGATGCAAAGAATGGCCACTAAATTCCTTATTTTTGTCAATTCAGGTTATCTTGCCTTGAGAAGCCATCCCAACAAGGAATTTCCAAGACCTCAGAGATTCCTTGCCTCCGCTCTAGAATGCAATGAGCAGTGTTATATTTTTTTCTTGCCAAAATCTCCATTGTTTGTCCAAACTAGAGTCCTTTCCTCTTGAGAAACAATACAGACGAGTTCAGTAATTCCAGAACAGGTTGATTCTTTAAAAAGATAAAAGAACCCTCTAGCTGAAGCGTCTGATCCTTAAAAGCCCGTGCAAAAAAGCAAAAGCTATTTTATACAAACTGTTATTTCAAATTTTTGCGCCAAAGTGCTACTTAAGGCATTTTACATAATTTGCACAAAAATTATTCATGTTCTCTCTTGTTGAGACAGCTAAAAATTATCTCACCCTCTTGTAGGGTGAGAAAAATAATTTTCCACTTGTCTTAGCATGCAGGAAGGAGACAAACAAAGATTTACATCCCCAGTAAACACTACTGCTCTTGCGAGCAGTGAACTGATTTAATTTATAAATTAAAGACATAAGTTCCCCCCCCAGCAGCAAATAAAGAGATGAGACACAAGTGGTGCCTCGCTTAACGGGCGCCCCATTTAACGATGAAATCGCATACCAATGAACTTTTTGCGATCACTTTTGCGATCGCATTGCAATGTTTTAAATGGGGAAAAATCGCTTTGCGATTATCGGTACCCTGTTTCGCTTACCGATTATCGCAAAGCAATGATTTTCTAACAGCTCATTGGAGGTTCCAAAATGGCCACCGGGTAAAAAAATGGCCACCTGCTGTGTTTTTGCACAGATTCCTCGCTTACTGGGCAGTGAAAATGGCCACCGTATGGAGGATTTTCACTTTAAGGTGAGTTTTAAGCCCATAGGAACGCATTGAAGGGGTTTCAATGCATTCCTATGGGCTTTTTAAAATCGCCTAGCGACGAAATTGCTTTGCAGCAATTTTTGCTGCACCGATTAACGTCGCTATGCGAGGCACCACTGTAATGGGTTTCAAACTGAGCCACAATTTTATTGATTTATTAATTCTTTAAGTCCCCTGACCTCTCGTGAGGATTTAAGGTAGTGCAAGAACCTGGAAAATGGAGCAGGTGGAATCACCAGGCCCCATTCCAGATCCAACTGGGTGAGCCCTTAGCCCTGGACTGCTGCTGTATATTGTTAGCATGGTTGGCTCCCCTGTACATCCAAAACATCCAAATATGGTGGTCTGTTCAGAGGAAGGGAATATAGATGAAAAGCAGTTTGGGGCAGTAAGACAAAGATCTCAAATTATTTTGTCATGAGCCAGACTCCATGTTTTCTATGTATATATTTTTCTGTAGTTTTTGCTAACACCTGTCTCTTGCTTTAAAAGCCAAAATGGATTTGTGTTAGAATGCACAGATATACTTTAAATATATGTTTATATAGAATTGTGTGTGTTTCTCTTTATAGTTTTCACGAGTTGGGATATTATGACCTTCCAGCAGTCATAAACTTCATCCTGAATAAAACTGGGCAACAACAACTATATTATGTCGGCCATTCTGAAGGTGGGACAACAGGTATGTTTCAAGCACATACCTTTTCATAAAATCATGGAATCATAGATTGATGGAAGGGGCCTGTAAGGTCCTGATCAATGCAGGAATCCATGTTAAAGTTTATCTGACAAATGACTGTCTAACTTTCTCTTCAATGCTTCCAGTGCAGAAGCAATCACCACCTCCACAGGTAATCAATTCCATTGTCATACTGCTCTAACAGCCTGGACTTTTTTCCTGATATTCAACCAAAATCTGTACCTTGAATCCATTATTACATGTCCTGAAGTCTGAAATGACTGAGAACAAATCCTCCTTTAAATAAGTAAATATTTTTTTCAAGTATTTAAGGAGTGCTATCATATCTTCCTTCTGTCTTCTTTTCTCTAGGCTAAACATGACCAGTGCTTTCAGTCTTTGCTCATAAGGCTTGGTTTCCAGTCCCCTGATCATCCTTGTTGCTTTCTTCTGAACCTGTCTGAGTCTGCCTGCATCCTTCCTAAAGTCTGGTGTCCCAAACTGGACATAGTACTCAAGATGAGTCTAACCAGTGCCAAATACAGGGGAATTACACTGCTAGCTCATATTCAGCTTGTGATCTTCAACAATTCCAAGATCCATCTCATATGTAGCAACCATTCTCCATCTTGCAACTGCTTTTGGATTCTTTTTCCTAGGTGTAGGATTCTGTACTTATTGTTACATACAGCACTGATGTTACCTGTCTGTCATGGGTTTGGAGGGAAAGTTCCATCCTATGGGGAGTGGAAGGCGGGACATCAGGAGGAGGGGCTGTACTGTATATATATGTGAAGCCTGTGTGGTGAAGTTTGGGAGACGCTGGGATGTGACGAAGCAGCAGCTGGGAAGAAGAAGCTGGTGTGGGAGTCTGTGTGTCAGACAGGGTACTACTGTGTGTCAGAGTACCAACCTGATAGGTTCAGGTGTCTGTTGGTTAGCCAGAACTGATAGGTTCAGGGTCTGTGCTTCAAGTTAAGGGTTCTGTGTGAACCAAACTGTATGCATGTATGAATGAGAATAAGCCACGTTACTTTATCTTATTCACCTGATCATTTTATTTTCCCTGTGTGTTGTATTTAAATAAACCTTATTCTTTTATTGTTTAAAAATCCATCCCTGGTCTGTGTGACTTCTTATAGGGAATGGTTGGTGGCAGCTTAGTTAACGTGTGGCAGATCCCAGTTAACAGCTCATTGAAGGTTCCAAAATGGCCACCGGGTAAAAAAATGGCCACCTGCTGTGTTTTTGCACAGATTCCTCGCTTACTGGGCAGTGAAAATGGCCACCGTATGGAGGATTTTCACTTTAAGGTGAGTTTTAAGCCCATAGGAACGCATTGAAGGGGTTTCAATGCATTCCTATGGGCTTTTTAAAATCGCATAGCGACGAAATTGCTTTGCAGCAATTTTTGCTGCACCGATTAACGTCGCTATGCAAGGCACCACTGTAATGGGTTTCAAACTGAGCCACAATTTTATTGATTTATTAATTCTTTAAGTCCCCTGACCTCTCGTGAGGATTTAAGGTAGTGCAAGAACCTGGAAAATGGAGCAGGTGGAATCACCAGGCCCCATTCCAGATCCAACTGGGTGAGCCCTTAGCCCTGGACTGCTGCTGTATATTGTTAGCATGGTTGGCTCCCCTGTACATCCAAAACATCCAAATATGGTGGTCTGTTCAGAGGAAGGGAATATAGATGAAAAGCAGTTTGGGGCAGTAAGACAAAGATCTCAAATTATTTTGTCATGAGCCAGACTCCATGTTTTCTATGTATATATTTTTCTGTAGTTTTTGCTAACACCTGTCTCTTGCTTTAAAAGCCAAAATGGATTTGTGTTAGAATGCACAGATATACTTTAAATATATGTTTATATAGAATTGTGTGTGTTTCTCTTTATAGTTTTCACGAGTTGGGATATTATGACCTTCCAGCAGTCATAAACTTCATCCTGAATAAAACTAGGCAACAACAACTATATTATGTCGGCCATTCTGAAGGTGGGACAACAGGTATGTTTCAAGCACATACCTTTTCATAAAATCATGGAATCATAGATTGATGGAAGGGGCCTGTAAGGTCCTGATCAATGCAGGAATCCATGTTAAAGTTTATCTGACAAATGACTGTCTAACTTTCTCTTCAATGCTTCCAGTGCAGAAGCAATCACCACCTCCACAGGTAATCAATTCCATTGTCATACTGCTCTAACAGCCTGGACTTTTTTCCTGATATTCAACCAAAATCTGTACCTTGAATCCATTATTACATGTCCTGAAGTCTGAAATGACTGAGAACAAATCCTCCTTTAAATAAGTAAATATTTTTTTCAAGTATTTAAGGAGTGCTATCATATCTTCCTTCTGTCTTCTTTTCTCTAGGCTAAACATGACCAGTGCTTTCAGTCTTTGCTCATAAGGCTTGGTTTCCAGTCCCCTGATCATCCTTGTTGCTTTCTTCTGAACCTGTCTGAGTCTGCCTGCATCCTTCCTAAAGTCTGGTGTCCCAAACTGGACATAGTACTCAAGATGAGTCTAACCAGTGCCAAATACAGGGGAATTACACTGCTAGCTCATATTCAGCTTGTGATCTTCAACAATTCCAAGATCCATCTCATATGTAGCAACCATTCTCCATCTTGCAACTGCTTTTGGATTCTTTTTCCTAGGTGTAGGATTCTTTACTTATCTTGTTAAATTTCAGTCTGTAATTTACAGTCCAATGCTTGAGCTTATTAAGATCTTTTTGAATGTTGTTTCTGTCTTCCATGATACTAGCTATTCCACCCAATTCTGTGTCATCCATGAATTCAATAAGCTACTTATCTTGTTAAATTTCAGTCTGTAATTTACAGTCCAATGCTTGAGCTTATTAAGATCTTTTTGAATGTTGTTTCTGTCTTCCATGATACTAGCTATTCCACCCAATTCTGTGTCATCCATGAATTCAATAAGCATTCCCTGCACTTCCTCATCCAACTCATTAATAAAAATGTTGAAGGGCACTGGGCTCCATACTGAGCATTGTGATACTGAGATTGTTACTTCCTCCCAATTTGAGAAAGAACCATTTATAATCACTCTCTGAGTATTATTCCATAACAAACTGTGTATCCATCTGACCGTTGTTGTATCCAGCCCGCACCTAGTTAGCTTGCTAATCATAATATCATGGGACACTTTGCCAAAAGCTTTGCTGAGGTCAAGATATATTATGTCTACAGCATCCCCACCATCTACCAGGGAGGTTACCAATGGGGAAAAATTAGATAAGAGTAGTCTGGCAGGATCTGTTGCATTGTTTTCAAGATCCTTACAGACTGATTGCTGAGATTGATATGAAGCTAACTGGTCTGTAGTTCCCAGGTTTCTCTTTTTTGAAGACCGGAACAACATTTTGTTGTTATTGTTTAGTCGTTAAGTTGTGTCCGACTCTTTGTGACCCCATGGACCAGAGCACACCTGGCCCTCCTGTCTTCCACTTCCTGTTATCCTGACTAGTAAGAATTGATAGCCCTAACTTTCAGTAATTTATGTAATGCTCTTTTGAAACTATACAAAGTGGCACCTATCACTGCATCTTGTAGCACCGAATCCCACTGCT